TGGATCTGTGAGGTAAAATTTGAGTTTCTTTTTTGGAGGCAATTGAACCACTTGTTCAGGTAATCCTGTTGATGCCGACAGAAGATGGAAAATATCGTAAAGCATCGAACATCTACTCCGATCCACAGACAAGGAATATTCTTGATCGAATCCAACGTGATTCCTTCGAATTATTCCACAATGACTATGAGGAGCCGGTGATGATTCGAAAGAAGCCGCCCAGACTGGGTGAAATGAAGAACATCTGAATGTAATGTCGATGTTTTCAATGGCCAGTGTAAATTATTCCTTAGTTTATCCCATGGGTTTACTTGGAAGTGTGATTTTGATGTTAAAGCCCAACCGCGTGAAATATTCCTTTCAGAAGATTTAATGCAGCTTTAAATTGACTAACTCAAATAAGTTCTCATTCCTTAAGACACAATGCGTGTCGGTTGATTCCTCCAGAGAGACTTCTGAAGCTAATCAGAAGTCAAAGGAAAAGTTACATAAAGTAATCGCAACTAGAAGCGACTTGGAAGCGTCGCAGTTAAAGGGTTCAAGTCAGTCAGGAACGCCTCCTAGGACAGCCCCGCCTCCAACTTGATCTTCGACCTACAAATTCAGCTTATGTTTATACATTTTATGATTGACTTAATAGAAGCCGGAAGCGATATTTTGTGGTATTAATGAGTAACAATTTGTTGGGACTTACGGCTGTTCACGTTCTTTTGTGGAGCCTCATTTTCAAGCCCTGTTAGCCACATCCTGCCAGCGCAAAAAGTGCCTTTATGCAATGCAGGGCAATGTGTTCCAGTTATTTGGTTATTTCATGAAATCGTGGAACATCTACGTGTTTGAATATGATATCGATTTTGTGTGAAGTACGCGCATGTCGAAATAGGTGTTCATCACGATTCTCTTTTTTTGTTGACTTTATCCTGTGCCGGATTTTTGATAAAGATTGTATAAAAAATATTCGATGCTTAATACCCGCCATTGCTAATATGTTGCCTTAAGAAAGTGATTTAGTGATTACCGTGATTATATGGCAGTGATTTATTTAGTTTTGATGCATATCGATTTAATCGTTACATGAATCGCTAACTATAAATGTAATGTCATTCATCGACTGTTGTTCGTTTTCTGTTTTTTCTTCATTGTATGGTTGTTTTGAAACTGAAATCAGAATTTTGTACAGACCTTTGTTATCGTAGTGTTTTTCTTTTTGGTGGAGTATCCGAGTAAAACATGAGAAGAAAAGTAGTACTAGTTACTTAGTTACGGTTCGATTCCAGTTTGATTTGTTATCTGAATCCCTTAGTTCTGGTCGGTTCGGATTGTTCATCTGACAATGAGACTGAAAAAGACGGGTAATGAGTAGTATGAGGCCTCTATTGAAATATGGTTCGGAATCAAAGTTCAATTTGGGAAAAAGGGGTCCAATTGTAAGGTAGTTGCAAGGACGCTGGGCTCAAAAAGATCGATCTCGGGTAAGGTTCGACTTGACGCTTGAGCTTTCCAAGTGTTTGAGGGTTAAGATTGTTGATATTTGTGTTCGACCTTGTGGATAAATGTGGACCTTCACAAAAAAATGCTTGTTTACTAGAACTGCGCCCTCCCCATCAACTCTCACTTCGCGGATATTGTAGAGGCAGGCCTGCGGTTGACAATCAACTTACTATTATTTATTCCATGAGATTGGCCCCCAGAGAAGCTGATATTCCTTAGTTGGGCCTGTCATTTTGAATGCAGACGATCTGGCCGTACTGTCCGATACCATGAGTTCGGAATGAACACTAACACAAGGTTTTTCAAAAGATTATTCCATAGAAAGCTTCTTGGGTCCTTAGACCCTTCGATATTCAATGGAACAGCTCCAAGACGGATCTTCAATGTCCTACCAAAGTAGTTCAACCTTAATTGATAAGCAATAAGGATAATAACTTTGGAGCACGTTGTTGACCACGGGTCACTCAGTCAAACAGATATTTGGGCCGCCCGTCGTTTGAATCGATGCGGCCCACCCAGGAGGGTTTCTGCGTCTCAACGTTTATTTTTATTTTTNTTTTTAAGTAGTTTTTTCATACTTTCAACCTCTTCCTAGACAAGTATATTATTCCATCCTTTTCATGAGCAGTTGAATATTCTTTTCACACCTTTACAAGGCAGTAGAAGACGCACTGACTTCAAAGTTCATTTACCAGTAAATGCTCTTACTACTAGTATTACTTTCACTATAACGCGTACATTCACTCTTGAACATTGAATCCAGTAAATTAATTTTGAAGAAAGTTTGCAAATTATGCCTGATTTACAATTCTGGAGCACTTATTCTGAATAAAATCGGGTTAACTTCCCTCTTCATCCAAACTTCCCATATCTCAGCCTTCTATCCTCGATCCGGTTCAAATGATATTCTAGAAATCAGCTCCATTTTCAAAAAAAGCCTCCATGGTAACTGAAATGTGAGTTTTGATTTCTGTCATGACTGTGATTCAATCCACCCAGGTAAGTTTGCCACCGTGAACTGAAACATTGAATTTTGCTCCCATCCTGTGACAACCCTCATTCTTTTTTTTTACTACTTCTCATCACTGTATTCTCTCCTGCCGTTCTTCATCTTTTTATTTGTTATATTTTCCATACTCATTTGAACTTTTTTCAAATGGTTTAAAGTCATCCCATTGTTGTGAGTGCTCACGTAGTACATTTCAACCATTTTTTCGAAGATGCTGTTACTTAATTCCAGCATCTCTTTGCTTTCCCCTACTTTCCTTCCTTTCTTTCCTTTTTCCCTAGAATTTAGTTGGATAAGAATTAATCGGAAGCATAAATTTTCTCAAAGCGTGGTGACTAGCTAGGATTCTGGAGGATATTTTCAACTCTGTGAGCACCAAGTGCTCACCATCTAAAGTCTTCCCCGCCTTGTGATCTAGTTCGTCTGTCACTACTATTTTTCTCAAATGCAGCCCTCTCAATAAGCTCTGAGGCCGTTGTGCTCGATCTAAACTTCGGCTCAACACGTTCTTGCTTATCACCACTCATTTCTTCTCGAATTTCTCATAACTATCATGATCGGAGTCGTTGAATATTTGCTCGCGGATTCCGATTACCTTTGCTTAATTGTTCCAATTTTTGATACTGCATATATGCGGTTAGGTGTTACGTGAAATGTCAATCTACTGAGGAATTCTTGTGAGGTAAAGCGGAGGAGGGGAGAAATTTTCGTTGAGCCTATGAAAGAAGAACTCTACCGCTAAAACAGCTCTCAGATCAGGCAGACTGGAGGATTAGATTGGATCGCTCAATCGATTCTTGAACGTGGTGAGAACAGAAGGAATTGTCCGAGACGCGTGAAGGACTGGACTGTCCCGATTCCACAGGAGTAGTATGGCTTCAGGNCAGAAACGTCTCCAACGGATGTCATCTCCACATTAGAGAAGTGAACGAGAAATATCTAGAAATGCTTAGTCAGATGCTCGAAAGAATCTTCATAGTTATCACAGCTCTTCGACCTTCTCTCAGTATAGCATTCAGCTCTGAGAGGCGTTCCTAAGGAACTTGCCTTTTTCTTCTTTTGTGTTTGTCCAACTTTGGGACGGGTCCGCTTCTCCTGTGCGTCGCGCCACTTTTCCCCATTGAATGCTTGTACAAGAGAAAGGCCCCAATATCGAGCATTCATGCAAAGTGTCAAGGGAACGCTGCCTTGATCCTCTTTCGTCCTTCGGCCATCTCTTGTTCAGAACGGGTGAGGCCGACACACCAGACGCTGCTTTTGTCTGGGAGTATAACACGACCGTACCGTTGTTCTGAAAAAATCAGTTTCCTCACTGCAGTAGTCTATTGAAGTGGGCTGCTCCCACATGCTAATGATTGATTTTAATGTTCAAAGTTCAAAGTGTGGAGGGGTCGGTTGTTCCCGTCCATGGGCTGCCTCCATCGACCGGTTGAAGGAAGGCACCGCTATTATTGAACGCTGGGCGGTAGAGAGCATAGCAGAAGGCGGAGCCAGTTCTGAAAACCTACTGATGCTTTCCGATAGATTGGCATCTCAG